GGCGCGTGTTACGTCTCGCGGACGCCTTGAACGTGTCGTCGTGACCGTTCTTGCACTGATCAAATGTCACTGTTTCTTGTGACCAATCTATTCTAGGGTTGTGTGCCTTCAACCATGGCATCCCTAAGATGATCTGTTGTTGGCCCAATGGCACAACGTCAAGCTGTATAACCTCTGAGTGTTGGGTTATGCTCATTCGTACTGGTCGTGTCTCTTGAGAAACGTTCCCGTCAGATCCTGCTAGCTGTCCGTCAACTAACTGCAATTGGTAGGGTTCTTGTTTCTCTTGGAGTGGAATTCCCAGGTACTTTGCAGCTTCTCGTGCAATAAAATTTCCTGTAGCCCCTGAATCTATCATGGCTGGCTGTGTTTGTCCATTTATCTTGACTCTGCAGTATATTTGTCCTGCTTGTCCTGTAGCATTTAGCTGTGGTGTAATTTGCTCATTCTCGTTATTCTGGATGATCTCATCGGCAAATGTTACACGTCGAGGCTCTTCCTCTTCTAGATAGACAGCGCTTGTTCCTGATCTAGCTCTGTCATCAAGTAAATCCCTCCATAGGGTGTATCGGTAGTTCCCTTGAGTGACTTTCATTATCGTACCCACAACTGGTGGTGGTATTATGGCCTGAGCCTGGACCCGGTGTTCTTCTCCTACTCTTCTGCATAAAAATAGAACCTGATTCTCATTTCTTTCAGATGTGTGGTGATAGAACACTTCCCATAGCTCTCCCCTGTCTGGCCACTGGAGGTGATCGGTACTAATTCTTTCTATGAATGATGTGTTTGTAGTGATTCCAAACCATAGGATTCGATGCTGATCAACGTATCGAACCTCGTACGATTCGCCCTCTTCAGCGCCTGTTACGCTGAGGTCTTCGTTCATAGTCCCTTCGTCTGTATCTCCAAATTTCCAGATACGACGGTTCCATTGGTCGATTCCTTGAATAGACCATAATTCTCCTAACTGTGGGTCTCTATTTACCCATGAGAGGTCTTCTACCTCTTCGTCTTCTCCTAGCTCTTCTTCGTAAGCTGGTGGTGGTGTGGCTAGTCCTGTGATGCTGACTGCACACAATTGTGGCGTGAAAGTGGCGTTGAGTTGGCCTTTGCCGAACTTATTCTTAAAGTTGCTCTTCTTGCCCCCTGTTTTCTTGCTTCGACATTCTGCTGCCCGATGCCCTGCTTTTCCACATTCAAAGCATAAGTTATTTTCTCGTCTTCGTTTCTTTTCCGGATCATCATTCCCACCTTTGTGGTGCGTAGCGTCGAGTTCCATAGGGTCTCCATATCTCTGTGGATTGTAACGTGGTCTTCCCTCATTCTTGCGGTAACGCTCTTGCTTTTGATTTCCCTGGGGTTTGTATGATCTTTGACTTTGTCGATATCGGTAAAGACGATCATCTGATTCGATGGAGTCCTGGATTAGGTCGTTCAAGTCTACACTCTCGGCAGATCTTTCTAACTCCAGTCTGACTTCTGGTTTGAGTCCTTTACGATAGTGACTCATGATGGCGGTTTCGTCCCACTTGGTTGTTCCAGCATATCTTCGAAATTCCGTAGCATACTTCAATGCTGATCCTGTCTGCTTGAGGTTGAAGATTTTATCTTCCGCTACCTCTAGCTCATTGGAGTTCCCGAAGATTCTACGAATCTCTGTCTTAAATCCTTCAAAACTGTTGAAGATTGTTCGAGTGGGTTGCATGCGATCCTGGTCGTCATGCTCGAAATAGTCTCGTAAATATGGTTGAATCCACTTGCTTGCTTCTCCTCTGAGATATGATACAGCCCATACACTCTTGGATTCCTTTTCGGTGAACTTGTCTTCGTTAAATCTGAAGTAGATTTCAAGTTGTAAGAGGAAGGTGTCGAGTTCCTGTCGACTTCCTTGGTATTTGTCTGGTAAGGCAATCTTGAGTGTTTCGTTGATGGTAATTTCCTTGGGAGCGTCGGTCATCTCGACATCGTCGGTGTCGGGTGCTTGTGCCTGACTGCTCGCGGATGCACTGGTGGGTGCCATATCGTCGGTTGGTATTGAATTGGTACTTGAAGCAGAAATGGTGCTCAAAGTGTTACGGGAGCTGCCTCTAGGGTCACGTGGAAGTGTCTAGAGATCTCTCGAGGTGGTTTAGACTAGACTTCAAGTAGGAATTCAATAAGGTTGTAACTGGTTGCAATTCTCGTAACTATAGTAATGAAACTAATGATTGTTCTTGAGCACGAAGCTCCATATTATAATGAAACTCATTCTGTTATATAGACCTTCGTCCTCTGGAGCCCCTGGGATCCGTATGCTCCTGGAGCCCGTAGCTCCCCAAGGCTCCCTCACGTGACACGCGAATGTGTCATGTGATGTCTGTCGTAACAGTTTCATTGTTTGTCCATCTATTAGATATAGGTTTAATAGCTTATTTTATAGGAAGATTGGTTTTGGTATATTAATTGGAGAGATGGATCTGTTCTTAGACTATTAGAAATAGGGGAATAATTTCGCCCTTTTTATTTCCATATATTATTGCTGTAGCCCATTCTCGATTGCTTGATTGTATAGATTTACTTCTGCTATATCTCTCAGTACTAATAACAACTATTGCTGCACATATAATTCTCATTATAAAGTCTATTTCATCAAAATTATAAAAATCTCTATCCAAAATGTTGTATTTCGCTTATATATTCGCAACTAATTGAAATTATTCTTCAATAAGCTTGAGATCCTTATAGAAAGTTTTTTGAAAGTTATAAATATAACTAAAACATATCTTTAATTTGATTTAATATTTTACAAATTAATATACTTAAAGCTTCTCGATACATTTCGTATCTTTCGATTTGAAAATATAATTCATTATATCTTCCACATTCTTAAATTTAAGTAGAAAACCTTTTAAATCCATATCAAGAATATATTGAATAAATACCTCTTCTTCTAATTCAATCAAATTATAACTTTTTGATCGACTCTCAGCTATATTAGATTTACTTCAAATTCTATTACCCAATATAATTCGAGGTATACAATAGAACTAAGCTGCCTTTCGAATTGATAATTTTTTATCTGATTCAATAGCTTGAATAATTAAGATTATATGTGCTTCTTTAGAATGAATTTTCATAATTAATTATAAAGAAAACACATATTGAATATAAAATAATAATTCGAGGTAAAAGTGGCCGATCCACTAATATAACCGACCCACTGATAAACTACGTTATTAAGAATGATTTTTATTAAATATACTGCTATTTTAAATATTATTTTCTATATATTACTAATAGTTAGTAGTATATTATATACTATTGATTAATATTTATTTCGATTATCAAATACTTTTACATAGTCCTCGCGGAAGTAAGATTATTAAGGAGGTAAACCTTTAATAAATGATAAAAAAGCAAATTAAAAGATTAGAAAAATAATAATATCTGACTTATAATAAACCTAATTTATCAAATATTAAATGGTTTATAAAACTATATTTTATTTTATATCAAAATAGACTTTTTACTCATAAGATATTATCACCTGATTCGATTAATATCTATATGAACGAAAAAAACAACCCGTATTCGAATATGTAGATCTAGAATAGAATCGATCGATTAATTGAATTACTATGTGGACCTCTTATGAGAAGATTAAATGATTGAATGAATGAATAATAGGTTTGAAAAGACTGGAGTAGGATGAGATGAATCTTGTAAGGATTTACTATTTTTGTTTTTGTTTTCGGGGTTATAGGGAGGGAGGGAGATAGATGATGAATTATTAGATTGTTAATTAAATTTACCTATCTCTATAAGGATATGTACGTAGATAGAGCAGCGCAGCTATCTCCTTCCACCCCTGCATGTTCAACCATTCAATTCAGCCCTACGCACCCAATCCCAAGATCCCTGCACCCGACATCGGCAAGTACAAACGCATAACCGAGAAATCCCATATCTGTTGCCTCGGGCCGTGACCGCATCATATAGGAATGGGAAGATGCGATGTTAGGGAGTGGGATTTGGGTTGATGGGGAGCATGGGGAGGGGAAAATTTTGCAGGCAAATGGGCAGAAGTGAGTGCCAAGGTGCCGAAGGGTTGAGGGTGATGGTTGGGGGTCTACCGGTAAGGGATTGGTGAGGGCAGGGGAAAAGTTGGTGAGGGCAGGGGAGGTGGTGGTGTGTATCTGGGTACTGGGTTAGTTTTGAGTGAGGGAGGTAGGGAGGGAGGTAGGGAGGGACGTTGGGGGGGTCTAGGTTGTGTGGTGTGGTGTGATGGTGTGGTGTTAATTTGTGAGTTTATGAGTTTATGGTTGATGAATATAGAATCAACCTTCGAGTAGGTAACTAACATTTTTCACAGGGTGATTGAATTGATACCGAATCTTTGGATTTTTAGGCTTATGTATGAGTAGATATACAGGCTAACTTTCTCATATTGAAGAGTATGTTACAGTATCTGAGATGAAAGAAATGCGATGATCTCATCAATCTTCCAAACTATTACTACAAAAAATCGTGTCCGAAAAATCAACCCCATTCGATACATATTCCCGACTCCTTTACTCCATCATTTAAACGAGACTTATTCACCACCCTAGACAGTAAGATCATCTCCACCCACAAGTTACAACCTCAGTTCGCAAAATAGAACCATCACACACCCGGGTAAAAAGCGGCTGTAAGTCGGCAATAATAATCTTTTTGGTACCGCTTTGTTTCTATTATCTCAGAAAATGGTGTTCTTGGAAAGTTTTATGATGACTTTGAGATCTGAGACAGGGTTGTTGGATTATTTGTGGAGTCGCGAGATGTAATAACTAGTTTGTATAGGGTAGTTAGGTCGAGTATGTGAATGGTGGGAGGAAGTTGTCGGATCTTGAGGATTTGGTATGAGGGAGAGCGGATGTGAAGATCTAGATGGTGGGATATATAAAGGTCTAGGTACCTTTGTGAGAGAATTTGTTTGTTTGTTTGCTAGGTTGCGCTTCAGATATTTTTTATATTGTCTTGTATTCTTACTTTTTTTTGTGCTGCAATCTTGTAGGAGTTGTCTATACAGGATTTTCATTACATCGCATGGTAAACATCCACATTTATCTCCATCAAAATGTCAGACTCAGAGAGTAGTACCTCGAATCCCAAAGATGTCCTTTATAATTCCATCCTCAACAATCACACAAGAAACCCCCAAACACCCATCACCCGCACTCCCACCCACAAATCTACACATTCCCGACGCGGCAGCACCACGCTCCAAAATACCCCAACCCATCTCTCACAAAAAGAAACCCGAGATCCAAATCTGGACATCAACCTTCCCTATCGAACTCTCAGTTCCAATGCCAATCTTTCCGAATACACAACCGAGAAAGCAGAAGGTGAAATCCCCTCCGCGAGACGAAATGGAAAGAGAGATTATAAACTCGTTACTTTTCTTCCTGATGATCCGGAAAATCCCAAAAATTGGTCAAAGGCGTTTAAATGGTATATTACCATGGTAGTTGCATTGACGTGTTTTGTGGTGGCCTTTGCTTCCTCGGTTATTACGGCGGATTTGATTGGAGTGGAGGAGGAATTTGATGTCTCGGAGGAGGTGGCTTTGGTTAGTATTACGGTTTTTGTGATGGGTTTTGGTATTGGTATGTTGATCTCATTCTTCAATGTATATTACAAGTTGAAGAACAAGGGCTAACATAAATCAGGTCCAATGATGTTCGCACCTCTTTCCGAAGTCGTCGGTCGCCGCTGGATATACGGCGTTACATTATTCCTCGCCGTAATCTTCATCATCCCCTGCGCCGTCGCTCAAAACATCGAAACCCTCCTCATCTGTCGCGCTCTAGATGGGATCTGGTTTTCCGCCCCCATGACCCTCGTAGGCGGCACCCTCGCCGATCTCTGGCGCACCGAAGAACGCGGTGTCCCCATGGCGGCTTTCTCCGCCGCCCCTTTCATCGGTCCTGCAATCGGTCCTCTCATCGGTGGATTCCTCTCCGACGCAGCAGGTTGGCGCTGGCTCTACTACATCCAAATAATCTTCGCCTTCGTCGTCTGGATTCTCATCACCTTCACCGTCCCCGAAACCTACGCTCCTACAATCCTGGCACAACGAGCGAAAAAAATGCGCGAGCAAACCGGCGAACAGGAACACGTCACAGAACAAGATCTCGATCTGAGACCCTTCGCAGAACGTCTCCGTATTTTCCTCATCCGTCCTTTTCAACTGCTTTTCGGAGAACTCATCGTCTTCCTCATTTCTGTCTACATGAGCGTCCTCTACGGTCTCCTCTACATGTTTTTCGTCGCTTTCCCCATCGTCTATCAAGGAGGAAAAGGGTACTCCGCAGGCACCACAGGACTTATGTTTATTCCTCTCGCGCTCGGGGTCATCGCATCGGCTTTATGCGCACCCATCGTAAACCGAAATTACATGACCCAAGTACGCAAATACAATGGACATCCCCCAGCCGAAGTTAGACTAATCCCAATGATGTGTTCATGCTGGTTTATCCCCATCGGTCTCTTTATATTCGCTTGGACCTCCTATCCCCATCTCCATTGGATCGGTCCCGCTATCGGTGGCTTTCCCGTCGGATTCGGATTTATCTTCCTCTATAACGCGGCGAATAATTACTTGGTTGATTCCTATCAACATCAAGCAGCATCAGCGCTCGCGGCGAAAACTTTTCTGAGATCGTTTTGGGGAGCTGCGGTGGTGCTTTTCACGGAACAAATGTATGCGCGATTGGGATATCAGTGGGCGAGTTCGTTATTGGCGTTCATAGCGTTGGCATGTTGTGCGATCCCGTTTGTGTTTTGGGTGTGGGGAGCGAAGATTAGAGAGAAGAGTCGGTTTGCTTATGGGGGGGAGGATGAGGAGGGGGGGAGGAGAGGGGGAGAGGAGGAGTTGGAGAGGCAGAGGAGTTATGTTAGTACGCCTTAAGGGTTAGGGGTGGGAGACGGTGGTTTGGGGAGATTGTGGGGTGAGGGTGGGATAGAAGGATGAAGTAATGATTTGTATGAGGAGATGTGTAGGGTAATGGAACAGGGTGTTTGATTAGCGTGGTAGATGGATAAACGGGATTCCCAATAGATTTGTATTTTTATTTTCACATTATAATAGTTTACTTGCATCAATAGAAATTACAAAACACCATTCACACGAGCAGTTTGCTATCTGAGTAGATGCATATATGTACACAATTTTTGTGAAATGATCTCTGTATTATTCATTTTATTCTGTCTGACCCTCTACCTTATCTATCTCCTCATCTCCATCTTGTCATACCCCAATCCTTCATCAAGATACTCCAATCCATTCATTACCCCCCCTTATAGTTAAAATCTAAAACTTCCATACTCTGTCGATGTAGGTGGAATAGTCAATCGTTGGATAATAAAGAAAAGCGAAATGTTGAATCCGGGGAATTTTATTCCTGTTGTAGTCTGAGGGTGAAACACATTCGGATACTGATGAGTATTGGAAGGGACTTGAATCTTAGCCTTCACATTGTCGAACCAGTCTTGAATCTTAGCCTTTACATTTGCTGACCCGGCTTGTGGCCCTTGCAATCTCATCTTGCACCCTGCTCTTTCTGATATCCTCGCATAATATGTACTTCATCAAGTTCAGGCCGGCATCAGTTTGAGTGGTTAGATAAAGACTTAGAGAATATGGTGGAATTCGAGGTCTGCTTAATTGCGATGACGAACGAGATTTGAATCTGTGAAGAGAACTGGTTGATGTTGATATGTGTGTTGTTCTGGTGGTGTTGGAGACTAGGTGTGTTGGGTTGAGTGGTGAGCGAGACTTGGATCTTGGCCTTGAAGTTGTTGGGGAGACTTGAATCTTGGCCTTTACGTTGTCGATAGGTTCATGCAGTCAAGAAGAAAGAATCGTTAAATCTTCTTCCGAGAAAATCCACTCCTGGTCTTGGATCTTGGCCTTGATGTTTTTATCAGTCGTGTAATGAAACTGAGATGTGGGAATGATCATGCGCAAGCACAGCATTAATTAGAATGTGATCGCGATTACTGCTCTGGTCCTTGCATGATAAGAAGCCAGGAACCAGGGAATAAACACGGAAAACCGTAGTCTTGAACTGTGATTCCCGAAACAGAGAGTGACTCCACCGCATGCTGTAATCACTCAAGATGCAGGAATCCTCAAGTTGCTTTCCGACGGGAACATACTTGGATCTTAGCCTTGATTATCCATTTGCTCCCACTATATTAGAATCCTAGAAGCCAATCACGAGTAGTCGTAGTTTTCGATCCAGAGACTTATTGTTGACCGATTTCGAGGTAATTGATGGTATTGATGTGCGAGTTGTATAGTCTTATTATCTTGTTGTCGAGTCTAGAGAATAGATTAGTATCATGTAGAAAGAGAAAAGGGGTGGTAGTATTTACCTTTGTATTGTTGAAATGAGCTTCTCCACAGGCAAAGCCTTTGAATGTTGTAATCGGAGAGAGAACAAACATCAAGTTGCTTTCCGACGAAAATCACTCTGAATGTTGTAATCGGAGAGACCACAACACCTTCAAGTTGCTTTCCGTCGAAACTAACCCCCTGGATACTGTGGTCAGAAAGACTACACACATCACATGAGGGTTATAACAAGATAAATCTTGAGTTTTTGCCATTTCCCTTCCTGTAGAATCCCAGATCTCCAGCAGGAGGTCCGTGTTATAGAGCCCAGCGATAAAATTATGATGTCGAGGGTTGGAAGTGGGGGCAGAAGGGACTTCCCCTTCGTATCCGCGCTCACTCCTAGCCCCAAGCATAAGGGCTCTGAAACAAAGTGAGTGCCAGCTTGCACACAACTAAATCAAAACACACACCAAAAGGGATGAAGTTTATGACAGCTGTCCAACCGGCCGAACACATGGAGTCCACAGTTGATAATGTGAACATCATCCTTAACAGGACTTTGTTCACACTACCTAAAAAGGGAGGCATGAGGTAAGAAGTAACACTACTAACTACTCTGCTAAGAAATCGTTCCAAACGAGGGTAGTTTGTCGTTATATATAAAGTATATAGTTGATACTGAACACTACCCTCATTCCCAGATAGTGATTCGCGGACTGGGAATGAAGGTAGAATGTACACGAGTCTGGATTGCAGTTTGATGGTGAGGACTTTCGATGTTCGAAAGTCTTTCGTTGTTTGAGAGCAAATGAATACGTGAAGGTACTTCAGAATCGAAGGCTCTCAATATCTAGATGCATTTTGACGGCTGAAAGAGCATTGAGATTTGAAGACACCCTGTGCCTAAAGTCGTTCAAAATCTGAAAGCAGTCTAACATTTGGACATAGGACAACGCTAAAATGAACTCAGCATTTCAGACTATCTCAATTTCACATATGGGCTTAAAGCTTGAGTGTCTTTAATGTCAAATAGTACTCTAGACCATTGTTATCTATGCAGATTCATTACAGGTGCTCGAAAGTTGAATCGATACGATCTGCCTGATGTGAGTGGTTCCGAAACACTCAAACCTCGAGCTGATCAGTGAGCCATATTGGCAAATCTCAGAAGCTAATATTGAAACAGAATCGGCGACAAGATGCAAGGGAAATCTTATTCTCCACCATAAGAGGGTGAAGAATACTCCTTATATACAGTCTCTGTTACCATAGTTGCTGAATCGAAAGGTATTTGAGGTACTGATGTTTTATGGACTATTGGTATTGGACTAAAGGCCAATTGCATTAGTGTATGTGATCATGAAAGGCGAGGAATACTCAACTTGGAAAGCTCTTTGGTTTGCTCATAATTGTCGTAGATATTTTTAGGCTTGGGTCTCAGGATCCGAGGCGAAATGGCTGTTAGGGTAGATTCGATCGTTCTCGATAGGATGGATCCATTTGGAGGATTATACAAAGACTACTCGACTCCATATTCATTTCGGTGGATTTAGAAGTTGAGAAGAAATTGAGAATTGCAGGGGAAGTGCAGACTTTTATACTCCAAGTGAGAACGAAGATCTTCAAGCTAAGATTGCGTCATTTTCCTAAGCCCACACTACCTCGAACTCTAATATCAAACTTTTCGAGTCTTGTAGATCTTTTTTCAATCACTAGAGTCGATTCAGTAAAGTTTGATCATAATTTTCTCTTTCTTTAGGAAGAGCTTGGCATCTGAAGATGACAGCTGTTATTAAATGTGTTCTCTATTGACGAATCAAGCATCTTCTTGAATAATCACTTAGTGGAAGTATAATTTCAGCTCCTCTAAATGTGTATCTAAAGCCTGTTAATTCTTCGTTTGAAGATTACAAATACATTTTGATCCAGAAGTCATACGGTACATGGGAAAAAATTGTTAGTTAGAGTGACTAAGGTTCCAACAAAGTGATAGTGTAGCTCAGCCACATATAGCAATTATGACAAGTAAGGCTTCCAAAAGATGAAGCTAAGCTCAGGATATTCTGAAACTAATTTGAATCCTGTTTTCCTGCTTTGAAAGCACTATAACCAGACTGTAGTAGCAAATCGAGCTTTCCGTATTAAGTTAAACTTCAGAGTTTTTGCGGTAATATCACAAAGCATCAACGTTTTTTGGAAAAGTCCATCGCTTGCTAGTGACCTAATGCTAATCTACAAGTTCATATGATACCAGATCGATCTTGCCCATCCGCCGCCTGGAAGAAGACTACGAAGATACGCTCGTGGTGCCCACGGAGCCATTTGCTTCGGCCATTGTTGATGGGGAGGAGTTTGGCGAGGCAATTGATATCTTCGTAGTCTTAGAAGTTCGCAAAACTTTTGATATTTTTAAAGCGAGGCGGCTTGAGAGGTTTCTCGTTCCATCCTCCCATGAATTGTAGTGAAATGCAGGCGTCATCAGCAACATCATCAGTGTAGCTAAGCCAACTCTCCATATACTAAAATGAGATGTAGGCATCATAATCAATGTCATCAGTATAGCCCCAAAGCTTAGAGCCCGGGGTCAATATATGAGTGATTAACTCTCTCTCATTCGGATCATTGAGAAGGAGGCTCTGTAAACCAAGCCTAGCATGATGGAAATCCGAAAAGTAAGTAAATCTTTCATCGGTGGAATGTCGTAACCTGTACCTCCTGGATTCGACTGATTTTCCCAATTTGGTCAACATGGGGCAGATGTCAACCTTCTGAATTCGCAATTCTCTAAAAGCTCGAACCCAAGAGAACCTCATTGGAGATTCTCAGACCTCCTGAAAATCATCTTCAGCAAAAGTCAGCCAGAGAATCGTAGAATCAAGGTCGGGAAGATCGGAAAGATCGGTCGATATGCACCGGCATAAAGCAACAAAGTCCCCCCAAAAAGGTATATTAAATTCATCTCTAGGGTCGGAATCTATAGTGATGTGCTTTACGCAGGAATGAAAAATCTGTTTCTCTTCAACCATGTCAAAGACTTCTGCAAGATTAAGTTTGTTAGCCTTTCATTGACAAGGAAATTCAAATCGTTTATGGTGACAAATGAATCACCCACCTCAATGATAGGAGTGTTACGATCACTCTTCCAATCTTGGTTACAACATTTCACAGACCACACCACACGCGTGCAAATGAACCCAAGAAATCCCTCTTTCGCCTCTTGGCTACCGTCGCTTTCTCGTCTTCGCAACACTTCGGCAAACCCTCTTATCCAACAAAACTCTCCCATTGCATGATTCGTCGTCATCCCAACCTTATTTTCAAGTGTAATAACCCCATAATACTTATTGGAGGCGAAATCGCTATCTGTTTTCTTAGTCTCTGTTGGGGATGTTAACATATCATTCGTGGTAACCAAACTAAAGAGACCCTTATAATGAACGACATGTTCATAGATAATTTCTCTAATTAGCCAAGGTAGAAGCATAAGGCCCTTGAGAAGCCTAAGATGTGTATTAGTAGATATTATGAGATCCTGACTATTTGCAATATTACCAATCTGGAGAACAACCATGGTCGTTGAAATAATATGCCATTTCTTGTCCACATGGAATAAATCTTGTAACTGATGGGCAGGTGAAGTGAGTTGCACCCATATACCATCCGTCTTTGTGATCGCAAGGCAGAGCAAGGAACGTATCTCTGTTTGTTGAAAGCGGAGCCAGGTTACTGCGTTCCAAGTATCTTACTCGTTCATCAGTCGAAAGAAAATGGTTCGACCATCCTTGACTGGCGTACGATTCTCTAGTGTTGTAAAAATGTCTTTCTGTTGGTGTACGATCAACTCCGTCATCAGGCAGTGGACCGTTTCCAAGAGATCCCATTCCTAGTAGGCGCGCCATTCGTAGTAAGGGGTCACCCATATTTGCAGAGAAGACAACGCCTTTCAGTGAATGATAAGATCGTACGATAGGTATTTCCTGCTTGCAAATTGACTCATTTTTTCCCCTGATAATGTCTCTATGACATCGATGTTCTATTTATGATAATGGGAGAACGGCAAAGCGACTGTCACATATAAACGATATCCCTGTATCGTGCACGACCCTGTATCTTGTACGCTTTAATTTATTAAATTAAAAATTGATTATAAATTCAAAACTGTTTATAATAATATTAAAATTTATAAAAAACAAATTGAAAATTAATGAAATATAATAAACAGTTTTTAATGAATTTGAAATATTAAATAGAATATTAATTAATTTAAAAAATAATATTTTAAGATATTAATAATTTAATAAAAATTTGTATCAGAATGAATTTATATTATTAAAAATAAGTTTTTCGAATTAATTTATATTATTATTATTGAAAAAAAAGTTGAAATTTTGAAAAATATAAAAAATTGAGTTTTAAATACAATTTCAAAGATATATATAATATTCAAAAAAATAAAAGAATTTAAAAATTCTTTTTAAAAATTTTAAAATATTTATTTATAGATTTTAAGAATCTGAAATTATTACTTGGATTTTAATTAGAAAATTAAACTTTTATATATTAGAAAATCTATAATATAATAATAATAAAATTATATAAAAAATTATAACTTATTATATTATAAATTAATATATAAAATGAAAAAATAATAAATAAAATAACATATTCTAATTTCTTAATGAATAAGTCTATTAATTGTTTAAAAAAAATATAAATATTATAAATCCATTTTTAAAAGAATTTATTTTTTTAAAAAAAGTCCTTAAATTTAATAATATTTCTAATAATTTTACAGATTAAATATAATTATAATTCAACATTATAATATATTCTGTCTTTTATTAATATTAAAATCAGTTCTATTTTTAATAAATTTAAAAAAAAATCTTTTTTAGAAATATCTTATTATTAATTATATAATCCTAATAACGTAGTTTATTAGTACGTATATTATATTAGTATGTTTTTACAATGAAGAAGTAGGCCAGTGAAATGCATGTAATATTGATTATGTAGATTAATTGTACTAAGGTAAAATCTAACTATAAAGTGAAAGTGATATATATACAATAGCTAAGTACATGTACTACAACTTTTAACACTCTCTTAAAGAGTTTATTCTTTCAATTTTAATAATTAGCTTTGAAATTCTAGTATATTCTTAAATCTTTTAAATATTACTTTTATATATAGTTTTATTAATCCATCTATAATTATATTATTTATATTAATATAGCTAATATTAATTAAATGTTTTTCTATAAAATCTCAAATAAAATAATGATATATATTAATATGCTTTGATTATTTATATAGATATAGGTTTTTAATTAATACTAATGCTTCTTAATTATCTTCAAGTAAACCGTTAGTAAATAAGAATTTTAAAATAAGCTATCCTTATATCCGGAACATAATATTAGAAATGATTTGTTTTACTATTAACTCATAAAATCATAAAGTGATTCGAATACTATCGGAATGGTAAATCTACTATATATACTCAATTAGGTGATTACTCCCTAATAATAATAATAATATAAAGATTAAAAAACAAAACAAAAAAAAACAAAGAAGAACAAAAAAAAAATAGCAAAAAAAAAGAAGAAAAAAGGAATAAAGAAGCTTAAAAAGAAAGAAAGAGATAAACTTATATAAGTTGAGTACTCTACTTTCGAGCCACCTCTCTTTTAAACTACTTTTCACATCAAAAATGGAATTTTTAACTTTCTTATTTATGGATAGAATTTATTGAAAATTTATATATATATAATTTAAATCATTTTTAGCTTATTTCTAAATTCTCAAATTTTTAGGATTTTTCTATATTGAGATCTGGAGTTTCAAAATATCGATTTTTAGATTTGTATAGAAATTATATATAAATTTGAAACTTTTATAAAATCTTTACTAACTTTTAAATAAAAATTACTAAAAATAAACATAAAGTTTTATTATAAGATTCTAGTATATTTATTTTGAAAGATTAAGAAAAAATAGAAAACTTTTTATAAATAAATATTTAGAAGAATACCTTCAAAATTATAGAGATTATTTATATTACTCTAAACTCACTATATACTATATCTCTATATCTATTAATTTTTTGAATTCTTTTTTGAATTTCTATATAGATTTAAATTCAAAACTTTCAAAAAGATATATAGTTTTCTTTTAATAATTGTTGTTAAAAAGTTATTAAAGATCTTATAAAAGCTCTAAATTTATATATAATTCTTATATAAATTAAAAAATCGATATTTTGAAGCTCTAAATCTATTAAACAAGCTTAATAAGATGTATATATATAATATATATAGATAAAAGAATTGTTTTATTTCTATTTATCCTTTTTGTATAAAGAGGAAATTATTATATCTATATATATATACTATTCCTACTTATATATTTTATATATATATAAGGTAAAGCATGATATTACACGTTATACTCTTAGTTATGTGTTCTAATAAAATCTCAATATAGAAAAATTCTAAAAGTCTAAAAATTACAAATTAGATTCAAAACAATCTGAATTAGTAGTAGTAGTAAATTCATAATTGATTCGGTCTATCTAGCTATACTAAGACCATTTAATACGCCTGTATATGATTCTAATTAAATAAAGTAGATGGGAAAAAGAAATAAAAACTTATCCTTCTTTAAACTTCCTTATCAAAACCTATAGACAACCTTCCGAGTAATCCTTTTAAATTCTTTAAATCGTTTATATTATTAATCTATTATATTTAAAAACCTTCTTTTTATTAAATTCTTTAATATATTTATAGAAACTCTATACTTTCTATTTTGTTATAATAATCCCTTTCTTTCTATTTAACTCCTTTCAAAATATTATAAAAGCTATGATTAATTATAATATTGTATCCCTTTCGAAAGATTATCTTCGCCCTTTAATACTTCGAATCCTTTAGGAATCCTATTATAACCTTTAATCCATTATTTATAAGCCTTATATCCACCTTTTCCTATAATATATTGATAATATATAATTTCTTTTTAAAGCCTAATATCTTCTATTCCCTTTTCTTTTATTGAATTACCCTATCAATATAGAATATAATATATTAGAACCTATCAAACCACCCTATTAATATAAAGGATAAGATTATATTATAGAACTAAATGATTAAATAAAATCGAAATAATAAATGTAATAATATTAGAATACTATTACCTTAATAATATACACTCTATATTAAAGGATTATTATTTCTTTAATTATAATTAATAGTATATCGTTTATTATATAAAATAATATTGAAATTAGTATTTCATAATAATAATATATATTAATATAAAATATTATACATCTAAATCAATATATTATAAATGTTTTTTAGAAAATCTAACTTTTCTTTTCATTTGTATAAAATAGTTATAAGTATACTAATAGAATATTAAATACTATATTAATATATCTTTTATAAGATATTTCTTAAAAAAGTAGAACCTTTTGAAGAGTTTTTATCCTTTATTTTTCTATATCTAAAAACCTTCTTCTTTATAATTAAGACCCCCTCTATAAAACCTTCAAGTATTAAAAAGCTTAAATCATTATAGAAATCTATAATTTAATCTTTTTTATTAATTATATTCGATATAGTAAGTTTATTATTAATAATATTAATATTAATGATTCTAATATAAATATATTAGATCCCCCTTTTCGATATCAATAATAATATTTCCCCAACTCAAATAGATATTAATTTGATAATTTCAGAAAAGAATAAAAAGTAATATTCTGATTTAAATATAATAAAAATTAATAAGTTTTTTCAAGAAAATCTTTTCTTAGTTTTTCATGTAGTCTCGATCTGAATTATATATATATAAATTTTTAATAAATTCTATTTATAAATAAGAAAATTAAAAACTTTATCTTTTGAGATTTTTAATAATAAAGAGTGGCTTAAAACAGGAATAACTCGAAAGTAGAGTACTCAATTTATAATAAAAATGATTAATACAAATATTAATAAAAGTTATAAATGAAAAGTTATAAATAAAAAGTCAATTAAAAACTTCTCCTTATAAACTCAGAATTTAAAAAATAAAAGTAAAAAAGAGAATTAGAAATCACAGTATAGACATTAAATAAAGGTTTAGAAGAAGTAAAAGAATATAATAGAATGTGCAATTCACTATATCTTATATATATATCTATCTCATGAGATAACTAAAGTGTACTTTCCTAAAGTAGGTAGGTAGATAGATAGTTGATACTCTCATCATTTCTTTACTCTCGCAGTTTGTCATTCCTCCCATCTAGTTTCCAGGTTCCCTCCTCTCCTGTCCTCATTTCCATCCTATGCTATGCTATGCTATGCTATGCTATTCTCATCTCGACCCGACATATCCCATCACATCCTAAAAATTCTCGTATACTACACACATACATGATACATATATCAAATTTCCATTCAGATCCAAATTCGAATTCGAATTCAAAAACCAGTCCCAAATCCAAATCCCAATCTCAAATCGTAATCCCAGATCCCTAGAATTCGAGGTAATCTTACATAATACTCATACTCATCCAGCATACATGTTTCGCCGACAGGATACCCATCCATCGCCAGGAAGAGAAACCCATACACATGAATACAGAGACACCATAGAGTACAATACAAAAACGCAACCACATTTGCAAGAACTAGTATCCCCCTAGCATATCATGCGTACTCTGATGTCTTCGCCTGGCATACCCTAGCATAGCATAACCTTTCATTGTGTAGCGGGATTCCCTAAACAGATCTTCAAAAAAGCCCAATCCAATCCAAGAATTCATTCCACTTTAGAGTTCGAGTAAAAGTCGAAGAAGAGAAAAGAAGAGAAGGCAGGAAAATAGAAGAACATATCCAAGAATCGAGAACCTAAGTGATTGAATAATCAGAGCCATAGCGCCAAATCATTGATTTCCAAACCAAAAAGGATGAACAAGTAGAAGAAAGGGTATCATGTTTACGTGAGAGAAAACGATGCGAAACGAGCCGAGCGAAATAAAACAAACAGAACAGAACAGAACCAGACCAAGCTAAACGACGCCAATGTAAACTCCAGATAAAAGATCAAGTCCGAATGAAAGTTCCTCATCACACAACTCAATGTATGAAGTGTTCTCGTTCTCCCATACTGAAGTCTTGGCAAGAAGCTGCTGTGGACTTCAAATAGTCGGGTTGACCAGAGCAACCGAGAAGAAATCGAATCTCGCATCACAGCATCCTTCTACCTTCCACTTCACACACACAAAAGAATTCACTACCCAACAACCCCCGCAAGCACCCCCCATACACCCCAAATAAACCCCCACGCAAACCAATCCTTCTCTCCTTTGAGAACCCCTCAAAGCCTTAATACTTCCAATGACATCAGTTAGACCTATAAATCCACTTTGTACAAGTGCACCTACAATACCCGAACCCACCAAACAAACCACCGTCATCCTACCTAGGAATGTTGGGATCGTTGCGAAAGTCAGGATTGGGATTAAGATACTAAGAGCTATTGCACATGCCAAGGTAGGGAAATCTTCTGCATGAGAAATTTTATTTCCTGCTCCAAGATGATCATTCGCTAAATGAGGTGGTGGATGAAGAGGTGAGTCGACAGCGCTACTGGTCGGTGTTCTCTCAATTGGATGGTCATCATCACTACTATCTGATATTGAGGATAGTAGTGAACGTTTATGACGAATGAATTGATCTCCATTTCGATGACAGCCTTGGCTTCTAAAACCAGAAGAACCAGAAGCAACGGAAACTAAATCATCCTCAACTTTTGGATCCAAGAATCTCGTTTCTACTTCGGTTATGGGGCGGACGGTTTGAAGGTATTCGCGATAATGGCTGATATCCGGTTGAGAAGCGGGAGGAAGTGATTGAAGAGAGTGGAATAAGGTTAAAGTTTGATCTAGAAGAGGTTAGTATGGGGGAATGTGTGAGGTATAGGGTAAAGTAGGGATCGCGAGGAGTGCTGACTGTATTGAGCCAACTTGTAACCGATCCTCCCTAGAATATCCATTTTATGCCACTGTAAATCACCACCCATTTGTTCACTTGCTCTTCTCGATGCAGGAATTACATCCACCCCAATATTAACATTACCAGTATGTCGTAACCTTCTAGATTCCGTATCGGCTTTATCCAATCTTTGTAACTGTTCTTCAAGTTCGCTTATCTCATCTTGAAGATGAAGGAGAAGACGATGATTGAGTGCTTCGAATTTTCGATACATTGGCTTGATACGATCTTCTACTACTGTATCTGAACCTGAACCGGAACCGGAATGGGAAGATGCTGATAAGCGAGAGGCAAGAAGTTCATAGCCTGTAATAGTCGGGTCAATCTGAGATTGAAGTGTGTGTTTGGGTGGATGTGGATTGCGGGGTGTTTCAAGATCAGCGGGAGAGAGTGGATTACTATCTGTGTGATGGTGGATTTTTGGTGTTCCAAATGATGGAGCTGCTCCGTAATAATTTTGTCTTTGATTGGCAGCTGCCATTTGGGACGCTAACTTGACTGACGCATCTTTTGAATTCGTGGTGACTCGTAGATTTTCTCGACCATTAACACTTCTTTCCGGTGATGTACTCCTATCTGTGTCGATATCGGCTTCTGGTGCTGAGAAGTCATCACTATGAAGACTACTTGATACTGATGAAGGGCCACTTGGATGTATCTCAGGAGTTTGTGGACGTGATATTGGGGTGAAGCTTTTATCGCTATGGTCAATCAACCATTTAGAGGTATCGTCTTGTGTCTCCACCTTTTTCCCCTCTGCGTTCTCTTTCCTAGCCTCCTCATCTTCTCCATCTTCTTCATCGGAGTCCTGTTGTAAATAGGCAAACACATTTGGAGGAGATGGTACAGCTGGCGATAGAGACTCTTTTTTAACTTCAGTTCCTTTCCCCAAAGGTAAACCTTTCGTAATAGAAGCTTGAGTTACTGTTGAGTTACTTCCACTTGAGCTACTAGATTTATTGGTTGATGTAGTCAAAGAAGTTAAATTGGATATCATAGATGGAGATGTTAATTTTGCTCTTGAAGCTGCAAGGACCGATTTGTGATTAGGAAGATTTTCATTTTCATCCGAAGAGCTTGACGATGACGACGATGATGAACTTGGAACTCGGTTCCGTTGTACCGGCCTTTGGCGAAGACGTTGCCCCTCCATATCATTTCCTTTTGAAGATGATCCACTTGCGCGCTTCGCATTTGTATGCTTAGGTTTTGGTTTTGATGCAGAGTGTCTGGTGCCACTCGAGGTAGATTTATGCATCTTTCTTGATCTATCTCTTTCCCTACTCGTATTGGCTTTTGTGGGTGAAGAGGACATTGTGGACTCGTGGATTGATCGATGTTGACGACGAGTTATGCTACTCTGGAATTCTCGTTCGATATTACCCCTTACATCGTCCCTTGATTCATCTTCGGAATCTTCGATTATTGATTCAACTGTTGGTATTTTGTATCTTGTAGCCATATCTAAGGAGAGATCTACCCAAGTCCATTCAAATCAGCTCGGCTTCACATTCTTATTCAAAAACAAGACAAGAAGAAAAAAAGCAAAAATCAAAAGATCTCGTTAGGAGGGGAAGGTTCTTCTAGATTGACAGGGCTTACCTAGATAATTTTGGGTAGCTATGATAGTGTATCGATATGCGATGACAAACTACCAATGCCCGATGAAGAAAACAATTGAATGAAGTGAATAAATTGATGATACGGATGAAATAAAATAAAGGATCATAGTAAACATGATAATGAAGGAGGAGAGATCAAGTGGAGGAATTCAAGACGAGAGCAGAGAGCAGAGAGCATAGAGCAGAGAGAGGAAAGAAGAGGAGAAAAGGATAAAAATTCACCAGGACCAATATGATGAGGATGGCAAAGTGATTGTCTGTATATCAATTTCCAGCTTCAGCTATGATACCAAGATGGTATAAAACTGGCGCGCGCGTTGATCAAATTGGGATTATTACCTGAGTGATGATGAATGAGGGGGATGGGATGAGATGGGGCGAGGGACATGGATGTGTGTGCGTGTGTGATGTGCGATTGTTCAGCCGTCTTGTCTCCTCGTGTTTTGTGAGAGAAGAAGTGTTTCAGAATATTCTTAAAAGATGGAACCACCAACACAGCACAGCTCATGAGAAAAGAATGAACGATGATAGATATCAAGTAATTACAAGGAATGGAAGGGAGGCGAGGGAGACGAGGGAGACAGTGAAGGGTCAGAAAAAAAGGTCTAAGAAGGGACCAGGGATAATACAAAATGAAGCAGGGGAGCTTTTAAGACTTTATGATCATGGGAGAGTTCCCGTGCGTGGAAATGTTGGGTAGATGGTCGATATTGTTTGAGAATTCGCAGAAGATGTTGGGTGGTGTACGAAGGGTGATATTGTTTGTGTAGAGGTCTTGGATGGATTGAAGTGCGATTTGACAATGATCTATTCATATTTTGGGCGTGTGTTTGGAGTGATGGAATTGATGGGCTGATGATGTTTTCTTCCTAGATTTGGAAAGGGAAAGGGAACGCCATTCGAAGGATTTCATGCATTGTGAAGATCACAACATTTGGCTTTTGTGGCGGATGGGAATATACCTAGTAGTTATAGTCTCTTGTTGTACAGGAGAGTTTGTAGCTCCAATATATTCTGAATATATATACGAGTATCTTTTCATGGCTTTTGTTTGTTTGTTTCGATATATACCTAGAATAGACACAGGTATGAGTCCTAGAGATGTATATATTGACAACCTGGTCCCATGGCTTATCTGATCTACCTGACTATCTATCAAGCGACCAGTACCCCGTCTGACTGTCTCATAGTCCGGGGAATAGAAGCCAAGCTAGATTTAAGTACAAAATAGTAGAATAAGTAAACCATCCATCCCATCGTGACCATCTCACTATCTCTACTCCGTGACAATATATTTACTCAATACTAGTCGGCCTCCACGGCAGTGGCCCCCGGAGGGCCAGCGGAGCGTCATGTAAGATCTTCCTTTTCCTGCATTGAATCAGGTATTCTTACTCACTAGGTAGTTATATAGCTATAAGGTATGTAGGTATGTAGGTATATAGGTATGTAGCTATATAGGTATGTAGCTATTTTCATACTCCTCCTGTCTCTAATCGATGATGAATATAAAATCTGCCTGTCTAGTATGTAACATCAAACAAAGCAAATACTAAATTATATGTATATACAGTTACGATGGGATTGGTCGGATCAATAGTTTGCTGCGTTGATGCATTGCGGGACGTTCTATTAGACCAAACTAGAGTGTATGATAATACAGCTATAATAGCGTGAATAGAGTGAAGGGTGAAGGGTGAAGGGTGAAGGGTGAAGGGTGAAGGGTGAAGGGTGAAGGGTGAAGATTGAAGTGAAAGATGATGAGAGTTAGAGGACCATCAGATTGTGGCTATTAACCTTGACCTCGCAGCAAATAAAAACAAACAGACAGACACATATACCTATAACTATACATGCACACATTCCAATTGAAGTTATTGATCTGGGTAGCTACCGACATTAATTGATTACTTAATCAATCAATTAATTGGTGATGAGAATTATCATTAATGTAGGTACCAATCTTCAATCCCCCAAATCAAAACTAATTATGATAAACATTCATTCAGCCTCACATTTTCTCATATTCTATTCTTATTTCCTTCATCTTTTTGATAAGAAAAAGATAATATCATCGCCGAGTACGATGAAGATTCCATTACACAAGATAGAAGATTCTATCAAGACGTGCATCATTCTTACTCGACACCTTATGTGTATAACCAATACTTCTTCAACACATATGATCATATCCCATCAATCTCTTACGCCTTACGGGATATATATCATAATCAGTTCATCGATAACGATCACAATATCGATCTCATTTGGATTTCCTTCATTTTTCAAGCATCATTCACAAATAAGACAGAGAGGAGTCACAGCCACCCAGTGATCCTATCCATCCCTATCTTTTTTCCCTCCGAGACTCCTCGAATCGGGTGCCCAATTATTCAGAAAATCTCATTACATGCATGAGCCCGAGCCCCAGCCCGAACCCGAACTCTGCCTGACCCCCCATCTGATCAACGACTGTGAATTTCCTAGAATTCTCTATCAATTCATGATTTGCCCAAGAGAAGACCAATTGGAAAGAGACCACCTCGTTGAGAGGATCTGCAAGTCCGATGACTCGATTTTCTCCTCTGGTTCTTCGCAGATATCTCCTTGGGGGCCAAATCAATTCGACGGGTTGTCTTCGTCATAGAGCTATTGGTAATAATCATTTACCTTCCATTTACGCCTCCAGATCTCGGGCAAGACAAGAATTACATACCAACACAGAATCGGCCTCTTCCTCCTCCACGAATCACAGCATTCAAAATTCATTCAAAGCTGCGCGGAAACAGCCAAAAGATGAAGGGACGGGACGAAATACAAATTCGGAAAAGTTACAAAGTCTCGATGAATGGGAATTAACGGTAGGAATCGAAATACACGCACAATTAAATACTGAACGAAAACTTTTCTCATACGCTGCCTCGTCTTTTAACGATACGCCCAATACACATGTCGCATATTTCGATGTAGCCTTACCGGGCTCTATGCCCATATTTCAAAAAGAAACTCTCATACCTGCTATTCGAGGCGCATTGGCTTTGAATTGCAATATTCAACGAACGAGTCGATTTGATCGCAAACATTATTTTCATTGGGATCAACCTGCGGGCTATCAAATTACACAATATTACGAACCTTTTGCGAAAGATGGATATATTACATTATATGCGCACGATGGAATTGCCAAGGAAGATGGAGATGAAATTCGCATAGGAATCAAACAAGTACAAATGGAACAAGATACGGCAAAGACTATCTCACAACCTGGGGATATACATTTGTTGGATTTCAATCGTGTGGGTTTACCATTGATTGAAATTATTTCTCTGCCACAGATACATCATCCAAGTACAGCGGCTGCATTTGTCCGAAAGGTACAAATGTTGTTAAACTCAGTTGATGCTTGTGTTTTGGGTATGCAATCTGGTGGATTGAGAGCAGATGTAAATGTTTCTGTAAAGAGAAGATCAGAGGAAAGTTCCGGGTTTGAATATGCAGGTGTTCAAGGGCTTGGGCAAAGAACAGAGATCAAAAATTTAAGTAGTTTCAAATCTATTGAAGATGCTATCATTGCCGAACGTGATAGACAAATTTCGGTTCTGGAAGAAGGTGGGGTTATTGAAGGAGAAACTCGTGGATACGCAATTGGAAGTACAGAGACACGAAGACTTCGAGGGAAAGAAGGAGAGGTGGATTATAGATACATGCCAGATCCAGATCTAGCCCCGGTGATTATCGATGAAGCACTTACACAACATCTTGGTGCTACACTCGGCGTCTTACCCGATGAAGAATTGGCAATACTCGAGTCGGAATACGGTATCACGGTAAAAGATGCTATTGATTTAGTGTCTTTAAATGAAGGAGGACGAGTGGAATATTTCCGTAATGTAGTAGATGTGTTAACATTATTGAATCCTCATGAACCGCAAACGAAACTGGGGAAATGGGCAAGCAATTGGGTTTTACATGAATTAGGTGCACTCATCTCGGATTATGGAGAAGAGGAAAACCCACTCAGATTTACGGGTTATGGAGAGTGTATGATTTCACATTCTCAGATGGCTCATTTGATTCATTATCTTAATGAGGAGAGAATTACGGGGAAAACGGCGAAGACAGTTTTGAAGGTTTTGTTTGAGACTGGACAGGTGGGGGAGGAGAAATCGGTAGAGGAAATTATTGAGGGGGAGAATTTGTGGTTAAGGAAGATGGAGAGAAGTGAATATGAAGAATTGGCGAAGAGAATTTGTGAAGAGGAGAAGAAAACTGTCAAGGAGATTTTGCAGGGGAAGGAGGGGAAGATTAATTTTTTGTTGGGGAAGATGATGAGGGGGGATAGGGAGGGGAGGGTTCAGCCGGTTGTTGCGAGGGAGGTTTTGAGGGGGGTGGTGGAGGGGTTTAGGGATGGGTAGGGGTGGGGTTGTAAAGGGTAGGGGGAAGGGGGTTGGATGGGGTTAGATGATTGAATGATTGGAATGAAATTATACATTTATCCTTGTTTATTGTTGGTGATTGAAATAATGTTTTGCTTATTTTCGTGTCGTTTCATTTCCATTCCACTTCTCATTTTCTTTCTCTTCCTTTCGCCTCTCTTCATTCTGTTGCCACATCTCCTTCCTCATTACATTGGCTGTCAGAATTACCACAAATAGTACCCAGGTGACGAGGCTGGGCTAGACTATATACTCGATTTCATAACTAGCTTTCAAAACATGACTTTTCTATACTTTATTAAAAACATTTAAATATTATATTTTTATTATTCATTTTATAATAACTTTATTAATTTAATATTGTTGGGACAGGGATTATGTAACTATGTTAGTATTGATGCTAGTGTTTTTCAATATTATAGTAATATGTTTTATAGCCCTAGCTTTTAGAATCTTAAGTAATATAATAATAATATGAATTATAATACTATATTAACTTTACTATCTTTATAATAATATTAATACTAATTAATAACATTATAGATTAGGAGCCTAATACTTTAATTTTAATCATAATATATGGTTTAAATGTTACGGGAGCTGCCTCTAGGGTCACGTGGAAGTGTCTAGAGATCTCTCGAGGTGGTTTAGACTAGACTTCAAGTAGGAATTCAATAAGGTTGTAACTGGTTGCAATTCTCGTAACTATAGTAATGAAACTAATGATTGTTCTTGAGCACGAAGCTCTACACTGTAATGAAACCCATTCCTTTATATAGACCTTCGTTCTCTGTGCTCAGTCGGATCACAAATGATCCCTCTGATCCGATCAACTGGATCACTAATGATCCCTCTGATCCGGTTACCTAAGCGTCGGGGTCACGTGACGTCTATTGTGGCAGACCATCGTAACATTAAATTAAGATTAATATTTCTTTAAAAAGACATAAATTCTTATATTATTTCAATATAATTTGATATTTATCTTTATATAAATAAGAGTGATTAATAATATGGCAATAAATTTTATATTAACTTTAATTTATATCTTGTTCTTTATTATAATATATATTAAAGAGTAGGAATTAGTAGTATTCAACTCAAACTTAATATTATACTCTTTAAACTCAAACTTTGCTATATCTTAATAAAATTAATATCTTACTATCTACTTATTATCCATCAAATATGACAGGATTATTCGCAAATTCTCTTACATTTCAGGAATATTATATCGAAAATATTGAGTATTCAGCCCTAAAACAATTCAACAATATTAAATCTATTAAATCCATTATTAAATTTCTAATTCCATTAGAGATTACATTTAATAATTATAAATTAATGGTGAATAAATAAAAAGATTATCCTTTTAATATTAATTATATAAATAAAAAGAAAATATGAGATTTCTATAAATATAAATTATATAAATATAAATTCAATAACTTTTATAATAAGGAATTGTAATTAAATTATATTACAAATTTTAAGAACTTTAAATTAGAGTATTTTCTATCTACTGAAATACAATTGTTATATAAGTTATAATATAAACTTTGTACAT